ATCCTAAGCGTATTATAATTGTTACAACGTTCATATTCACTTTCGACATTATAGTTATTTTTACGATAGTGACATTAAACTTCTCCAGATTGACTTTCGGAGTCAAAATTTCGGAGTTGTCAAACTTTTTCCAACGACAAGAATATGCATTTTTCAGTAGTTTCAGTAGCATATTTCATTAATCCATCCGTTGTAATAAAGCTAAAATATGGTTTAACAGTTTATTGATAAATTTTATTAAAAATGACTATAAATGCATTTGTACAGTAGTTTCAAAAAGTACTATATGGTGTCAAAGTTAACAATAAACCCTTAACAGGTCATGCGACATCGATTTTATTTTTCAAAAATCATATTTTCTTTACTTTATACAAATGATTCAAAATCATGGTCACAAACATATGAGGTTATAAATAAAAGATTACACGATTCACGAATACCTTGTTGAAAAAAAGTCATAACGGTCCATCAACAGATCCATCTCAACCAGCGGTCCCACGTCCATTTTTGTTTTTGACCGCTTTAACAGTAAAACATTGGTATTGATAGACATTGTAGGTATATATGTACATATATTTCAAAAAATAATAATATAACAAATACATGTATTATAAAGATATATGTCCTCAGTCCATTGAATTGTTGGATATTTACCCTTCAAGTCTTCCCATTTAAACTTCTTGGGAAACACAAATTCAAAATTACACAATATAATCCCATATGTATGCACATCACATACATTAGAACTTTTAACTGACTTTTATAGACACTTGCTTATTGTAAAAGCTGATTGCGATTTATACTTTGTCGAATGATATTTTCATTATACTATGGCATCAAACACTGACCGCGTTCGCTATGTCTTCTTTACTTATATTTTTATCAGGACTATAAATAGTCTCCTTAGTTCCCGTGTCGGGCCCTGTGGACTTTTCTTTATTTTTCACGTGGACAAACCACTTCTTTACAAGGAAGAATAGAATTGCACATACAAGTCCCGCCGCTCCCACTATGAACACCCCCGCCATGTGTTTTATTCCAAACTCCACTGTTGGCTGGCTTTCCATCAGATCACATTTCCTTTTGTTTTCCCACCATCTTATAATTATAGAATTTCAACATTTTTTATGAAATACAAAAAAAAAATGGAAAACCATTTTCAAAACTTATCAGAAAAACATCAAATTGACATAGCTAGATATTCTTTTAATACTTATTTTCTTATACTCACTTATTCAATTGTACTTACTTATTCTTTAATTGTGCCATGACAGGGGATTCCTTAACTTTAAGGAGATTGATATTAATATTCGTTTTGAAAGGTGCTCCTTGTTTCATCACAACGCCATGCTCCTGAAGCCTGAAGGGGGTCCCCACCATTTTGGTTTCACAAGTCGTGAGTTCCGAGTACGAGTTAATCATATAATCAAATATAAAGGCGTATTTTTCTCTCTTAACCCTCTCACGACCCTCCTGCGAGGAAGCAACTAGTCCCCCTTGGCTCATTTTCTTCCAAGCAGCTCGATATATTTTATTGTCACTAGTTTTAAAGAAATTCATGGTAGCGGAAGATCTTACCGTACCACATTCAAACTCGGGGCTATCAACAAGTTCTTCAAGTGATTGTATTTGTTTTTCAAGGTTGTTCGTTGTCAAAAAAGCAGCCATATTTGCTGTATAAGATGATACCGTGATTAGAACAAAGAACAAGAACCCGGCTGTAAGTATTCTCTGGGAAGAAGGACGAGGAGCAAAGTCAGTCCCTCGCATTAGAAGTGTTCCGATAGAAAACCACCAAGTTTCCCTGGCGGAAAACTTACGTTCCTCGCTTGAATAATCCAAGCTAAAGTACAAAAGAGACACGCCGACCGACGCACCAACGATTGCCATCCATAATTTTAGAGAAAAGGGTTCCATAAACTGGAATATTGAGTCCATTACTTTAGGTTTTGAAATTAAAAGGTTGACACCTGTTGTCATGACACCCAGACTGAAATCTACATCCTTTTCTCGGGAGGAGGTAATAGAAATAGCACCCATACCGAATGTTGCATTCTGCAAAGGAAACATGGAAGAGTTACACAAAAAAACAAAAGTTTGTAGGAAAAAAAATCCAAATAAAACTTAGGTAGACTTTTTTAGTTCTATTATAACCGGTAGAAATACACAAGTCGGTACTTCGTATAATATTTTATTAACGGTCCAAAACTTGGTGTTTCTACTCGATCTGTGTGTCGGCGTGGACAATGCAAGGTCCAGTTTATAAGAGATCATTGTATTAAACAACCAATTTATAACAATGATGAAAAAAATTACAATCGAGAGTTACTCAAAGCAGAAGGACATAATTGACATAATTAATATAATTGAATAATAATTAGCACTTTCACTCAGGTACAGGTGGCATCAAATGTCTTGCGGTCAATGTCTTTATATTATATTAAGCACTATCAAAGGAAATTATTGTTAAAAAATATGTTCATTTTACACGGTCACAGTACCCCTTTGCCCCCCGAAACACGTCCTCGTGTTTCCAAGAAGATCTAGTGTTGTCAGGCATACTTCTGGCAATATTGGAAGTCCTTGGATACTGCTTCCTGGCTCCACGGGGCGGTCCACTGTAGATGGCTTTCCTCGAGGAATGAAACTCTTTATATTTGCGGAGTGAATTTATCTCCTCTTGTGTCTTTTTGGTGTCAGTCTGATAGTCATTTATCACCTTTTTCGATTCCTCGAGGTCTTTTTCTACAGCTGAGAGTTTTTCCTGGAGTTCTTTGATAGTCTTGTCTTTTTCTAAGTACCGCCTTAGAGACACTTGCCGCTCACGCAACCATTTGTTCTGATAGTACTGGGCGTCGGATTTGTTAGATGCTGCCTGGTCCCTGAACTTTTTAACTTGGGTCTCCAAAGTTTCACTATTAATTTCAATAACGCTGACAGATGAAAATGGCATTTCATTCCATGTAGAATTTTCTTTACGATTTTTGCGGCTTGTCCGAAATTTTATTATTCTTTCTCTGTCTCTGGTTTGCTTCCTCTTTGATTTCCTTGAAGTTTGCACTGTATATGTTTCGTCAGTCTGCGTTGCAACTGAGCGCGTCGGTACTGAAGAGACAGCACAGATGGTACGGGAATTCCTTGTTTTACACATCCTTGCATAGTGGCCTCTTCTTCCACACTTGAAACATGATGAAGTCAGTGCGTTGCAGACGGTCCATCCGTGTCTTAATCCGCAGCGTCCACACTGTTGCAAGGTGAAGCGCGGTTGGACTGGTCGCATCCATGCAGGAACAAATGGAAACATGTCAATGATTAGGGGAATTCTGGTACAAAGGTTAGCAAACTCGCTTAGCTGTATGAGAGTACTGGGATCTAACTACTGCTAAGTATATGCAGTAGCCCTGAGTAGATTACCCTTAGGATTCTCCACCAAATATAACCGGTAGAAATACACAAGTCGGTACTTCGTATAATATTTTATTAAAGGTCCAAAACTTGGTGTTTCTACTCGATCTGTGTGTCGGCGTGGACAATGCAAGGTCCAGTTTCCAACTGAAGATCATTGTATTAAACAACCAATTTATAACAATGATGAAGTAAACAATTACAATCGAGAGTTACTCAAAGCAGAAGGACATAATTGACATAATTAATATAATTGAATAATAATTAGCACTTTCACTCAGGTACAGGTGGCATCAAATGTCTTGCGGTCAATGTCTAATTATATTATATTAAGCACTATCAAAGGAAATTATTGTTACTAAAAAATATGTTCATTTTACACGGTCACACTATCTTAACAGATGAAGAAAAATGGCTTCAGACATACTGTTCTACAGCATATTATAAGAGTGTTGTATTTTCAAATATAGATTTTCAAAAATACGAAAAGCTTTAAGAAAACAAAATCGCCAATTTTTTCAAAAGTCAGTAACATTACAAAGTACGACTCCTCTAACTTTTTACGACCATTCCGTAACATAAATTAAAAACTAGGCTTTTTAATATAATAGATAACAGATTTATTCAATAAAAATTGAAGTTGGATTTAATGTGATTGGTCACCAACAAAATTACTTTGATAAAAATCACTCTCATTCTACACACTAGAACCCTGAACCCTGGATTTGATATCAAAAGTATGCTGAAGTTCATCTTTAACAACATTTATGCAGTCTTCGGAGATCACGTTTTCCACCCAACTGTTGAAATTTTGATGTGTACTTATTGTATTCCTGTATTAGTTGACCTTTTTTTATATATATGAAGCAGAATTTATTCAAAACTCCTTCATGAGAAGACAAAACATTTGATGTGACCTTCAGCTCGACTTTTAAATACATGACCGATGTATTATCAATTAACGATACCGGGTAGTTATTTTCATCCATATGTCAATTCCAAATATCCAATTAAATTTGAAACTAGACACCACAGAGTTTGACACATATGTTTCATCTTTAGATTTTCACTGACTATAGTAATAAAGGCCAACTGTTGACTAAACTGTATGACGAACGAGATGAGTTCACCTTTTCATCGTCAATCTTACTTATTTATGAAGTAATATCCCTCTATCACATTTACTTTATGTTAAAATATTTCACACCATATTCGATATTCAAGAGCATGTTTCGAGGACGATAGGTTTTTAAATCTAGGCAGACTCGTACTGTGAGTTAAGTTGATGTTATGGTTTTTGCCTCAACCTCGTTTAAAGTCAACATTTCATAAATCTTTTTGATGACCTTGTTAGAAAATAAATGGAGATAACGAGCAGTATTCAAGATCAAAAGTTCATTAAACAATACAAAATAGGAGCAGAGCAAACACGGACCTCCAAAACATCAGAGGTGGACGAGTGAGCAACCCCTGCTGACCGGTCACACCAGTGGAGTGCTCCTTGTCGGAAAATAACAGGAAAATCCGCCGTCAATTCATTGTGTAAATAATGGACTAAATAGCAGTATGAAAAACGTCAGTTAGTATTTGACTCAATGATAAATAACATTTGCTGACAAGGTCATTGCATCGACCACAGAACTTACGAAATGTTTACTTTAAACGAAAGTGCTGGTATTCTTGTTTCATCAACTTGTTTGTCAATGATTTACTTCGTTTTAGAAATGGCACATACGTAGAGCATGCTCTTACATATCGAATCAAGAGATATAAACCCCGTATGCAGGTCATGAAGGTTTATTGTCGATTACCATTAACGTATTTTTCAGGTAAATGTCCAAATATGAAACAAATGTGTCAGACTTTGTGGTATCCTTTATCTCAAGCTCAACGGGATATATCGTGTCCACATAAGAATGGAAATAACCATTGTTACACAGTAATACGGGTAATATGGCACAGAATTCAGAATGAATCAGTTTTACTGGAAAAAAAAGATGCACCTCTATCGTGGAATTTTTCTTCCTTGCTCTCAAACATAAAAAAGTAATGATATGCAATATCCCTGCAAAGTGGAATAACTCCATATATTTTAAATCAATGTTTTCTCCTGTTTGGTAAACAGATGATGTTTCATTATTATTTCTATCTTCTGTTTAATATTTATTATTTCATTACTTTAATAACAATGAATAAGTAAAGGCTGTTAGTTCATTTAACTTTACATTCAGTCATTCACACTATAATTTATACTATTTTATAATACATGTACACATTTTGAAAAGCATGCCTGATTAAATGCTCCTTGATAAGAATAAGTGCCTAAAAACATAATTCCTCGTATAGGAGGGGGAACAATTAATACATATGAATGTCAACTATGCAAATTAATGCTAAAATTTAAAGTTTTTCTCATATACAATAATTACCCCAGCAATGACTTCTCCAACCATTCCATTCCACATCCCTCCACCAATAGGAGACCCGTATTCCGTCACGTGATATATTTCGTATTCGAATCCACACCTTTTGGACAATTCCTCCAACAGATCAATCGTAAACCCCTCATACCTACTGTTCCCTTCCAATGTGGAGTCATCCTTCAACATCACAAATGGAGCCTCCTGTAATAAATATTATGCATAGAATTGTACAAATACGATATTCAAGAAGCTGAGTGCGTTTCTGAGGAGGGGGTACTGAGTGTAATTCGGAGTTAGATACCTTGTGTTATTATTATACTATGGGTTAAAATTTTATTACCGAAACAATTGCCTGTGTGATACACACGGAAATGATAAGCAAAAATACATTTGTTTCCTGAATATTAATACTAATATACATGCCAAAACCACAGCTACACGCTGGATGCCGTCAAACAGGTTCTTGGTCCCTTTCCGATGTGGTTCAGACTCGTTCAGCTTCTTAAATCTTACACCCTCTGCATTCGTCTCTGGTGACCATTCTCCGATCTGAAATCAAGCATTTTTTCACACTTTGACCGAGATGAGTAGAATGTTGTTAGAGCTATTACGATACAATGTAGCAACTTATATTCATTTAAGAAGTGGCAACACTGTTTGAATCTTTACAAGTACATATATAATTCGAGGACTTCAAGTGGCTTAAGAACATTGTTTTCCTTGAAAGAACTCTTCAAAAAAAAAAGAAAGACAGAAGAGTATTTCAAGTTGGAAAGTTGGACAAACGTGTTAATTCACTGCACATTTTTTTTTTGGTATTTTTAAGATAACATTCTATTGATTTTAACGAGGAATTGAAAAATAAACCAATCATGCTTCAAACTATATTTCATTTCTATTGAAAATATACAAAATCTCAGATATAGTAGTCAACATTTTAAAAAAAATTAATCTTTAAAAATCATGCGAACCCCAACAAAAATACTATAGTTACGATAGATTTTTTTTGCGAGGGAAAAAGGTGATACCTAGCTGTAAATATATCAGAATTTAAGGATTTTGTATACATAGATTTCTCCTGCACTATGAACAATGGTAATATCGGTTAAGAAAATTCCCTAGCAACTAGCCAATTTTCAAAATGGATGGACAATCAAATCTCCTCTCTCTCTCTCTCAGGGGTGAAATTAAATGTGAATGCTAAAAAAATTTCAGTAAATTAAAATGCATAAAACTTTCTGATGTATGATTATTACCCTAGTTATGATGTCTTCGCCCCCTCCATGACGATACAGATGCAGGGTAAAGTTCACACGTGCCCCGGAAATGGCATCAAACTGAATTCTTCCTGTCTTACCGTCAAAGGAAACCTAAATGAAGATCATACTTTAGAACACAATTTTAAAGAAAACCAACATAGTATTTGAAGGACTGCATTATAAATATATGGAGTTAGCTATTAGTATTCAAGCTCAAAAGTCCCTTAAACAATACGAAATATGAGCAGAGCAATCACGGAAAATATCAGAGGCGGGATCAGGTGCCATGAAGGAGTGAGCATCCCCTGCCGACCGGTCATATCCGCCTTGTCTTCCTTGTCATGATCAGTTAATTTCGAGAAATCCGTCGACAATTCAGTGTGTAAATAATGGCCTAACAATAACTGCAAAATCACTTATTTTCGTTGCGTCAAATTTTCAATGTTTTAGGAGGGAAATGGTTTGTGGATATTTGATTTCGTGATTGACTAAGAATTGAGTAATTGTGTTTATATGACATTTTAAATTTCGTGGTAAACATGAATGCATGGACCTTTTCATACCTCGAAAACAACGAATCCACGAAAAATAAGTGATTTTATGTAGTAGTAGTAGTAGTAGTAGTAGTAGTAGTAGTAGTAGTAGTAGTAGTAGTGGCGGTAGTAGTAGTAGTGGTATGAAGAACGCCATTCAGTAAACTATCATTAATTCTTAACATTTTATTGTCTTCAGTCGCCGTACCGGTTAAAATCGCCCCGTGGGGATCCGGGTTAGAATAGGTCCTCAGTACCCCCTTGCTTGTCGTAAAAGGCGACTAAATGGGGCGGTCCTTCGAATGATACCGTATAAACCGAGGCCCCGTGTCACAGCAGGTGTGGCACGATAAAGATCCCTCCCTGCTCAAAGGCCGTAAGTGCCGAGCATAGGCCTAAATTTGCAGCTCTTCACCGGCAATGGTGACGTCTCCATATCAGTGAAATATTCTGGAGAGGGACGTTAAACAGTATACAATCAATCAATCAATCGGTTAAAATCAGCAAGAGACTGAATGATTTTTTAAGTTGAGTTTTTAACAGCACAGCAGCAAAAAGACAATAGCTGAAGATGTTGAGTTGGTATAGATATTATATTGTATTACATTGAGAGACCTTAGATGTAACCTGCTTTAAATTGTGTAAAGAATTAATCAAATTTTTTCTAAAGTACAAATACTGAAATCGAATAATGATGAAACATTGCTTTAATAATTTTACCTTCTTTAGACTCTCTAGAAATAATTTGCTATCGATGTCGCTTTGCTTTCCTTCAATAGTCATGTAGTTTTTCAGCGCCTCTATGAGTAGACGGGACACATCATCGGCAATAGCCTTGGTGGGGGAAGGGAAATCTTGTACGACATCAAGATACCGAAAAGCCAAGAGCTGACAACGGGCTGCATAGTACTTATTACGATAAATGCTGCTCTCACTTAAACTGGACAAGTAAAAATCCTTCAAAGAAAGACCAAACTTTTTTTATAAATCTAGGTTCAAAATGATTGTATGAGTTCAACTTGCTTCTATCTGTTACATGTATTATAGCAATTCATTCCAAGTTAGTAGGCAAAATTAATGAGACTTAAACCCCTGTCACACCGGGGCTGCGTCCCCACGGCGACTGCACGGCGTCCTCAAAAATTGCAAAACGCCGAGGTGATCGCAGTAGAGTCTCCTACAGCGCCGTGACAACGCGGCGAGATCTCCACTGAACGCCGTAGGGTCGCGTAGAGTCTCCTAGAACGCCAGGGGACGGCAATCACTTTGGGCATGCACAAAGTACGCGCCGTGTGATCGCCGTCTGATAAGAACGCAGTAAAAACGTAGTATGATCGCCGTAGCAGCGCGGTGAGATCTCCAATAACGTAGTAGGAGCTCCGTACGAACGCCGTGAAGACGCACATGATCGCGGCACGAACGCAGTGATAGTAGACTGCGCTTCCACGGAGACCCCACGGAGTCCTTGGAGATGTCACTGCGTTTCTATCGCGTTTTTACGGCGCTTCTAATGAGATTTATCGTCTTGTGATTTTCTCGACTGCGATTACACGGCGACAACACGGAGTTGTCACTGCGATCATTGCGCTCCCATGGCCTTTCTGCAGCGTCTGTTGGCGATCACAATGCTCTTTCATGGCGTTGTTAGAGCGTTGTCAGCCAGTTCACAAAAACAGCAGCAATGGCTGCTGCACAACGACAAACAGGAATGCTCCTTGCATTGATACATGTGCAACAAGCTCAAGAAGTAGAAGACGCTTTATCTATTGTCCAAAGACGAAGACAGAGGAGAGCCAAAAGGAGAGTCTGGGTACGGCAGTGGTTGGACGTCTACAGAAGGCTTGATTACGGTCATTGTCATCGACTAATGCCTGAATTACGGAATGAAGATCCTGCAAGTTTCATGAATTTTCTCCGTTTGTCGCCTGCTATGTTTGATGCGCTCCTTGCAAGATTGCGTCCATATATTACCAAGCAAGACAGTAATTATCGTAAAGCAATCGAACCAGGTTTGAAACTTGCTATGACTTTACGCCACCTTGCGACCGGGGAAAGATATGCAAGCATGAAATTTGACTTCAGAGTATCCCACAACACAATTTCTCTGTGCGTTCGTGAAGTATGTCAGGCCATCATAAATGAGTATAAGGACGAGTGTCTCAAATGTCCAATCACTCAAGTAGAAAGCAGTGCAATTTCTGCAGAGTTTTGCCTCAAATGGAACATGCCCCATGCATGTGGCGCACTTGATGGAAAGCATATTGCCTGTAGACGTCCTCGCAACAGCGGTAGTTTGTATTATAAGTATAAAGGTTAATCTCTCAATCGTGCTCATGGGCCTTGTTGATGCAGACTATAAATTCTTGTGGATTGATGTAGGTGGATATGGACACATGTCAGATTCTCAGATTTTTAACGCGTCCGAGCTGAAGGAGTGTTTAGAGGACAACAGCATTGGATTTCCTGTTGCGGACCCACTTCCGAATGATGACATAGCAACAACGTACTTCATTCTAGGTGACGATGCTTTCGGGCTTCGCACATACCTCAAGAAGCCATATTCACAGAGCCAAATGACAAAAGAGCAAAGAATTTTTAATTACCGAGTGTCGAGGAGTCGATGTATTGTTGAGAATGCGTTGGGAATCATGGCGCAGCGCTGACAGATTCTACCGACAACAATGCAACAAGAACCCGAAACAATCGCTATAATCGTCGAAAGATGTGTCATTCTTCACAACTTGCATTTGATGTGTATGCACTACCCTGCACTCCAAAACGCTGACATAGACGTAGAAAACGCAGACCACCAAATGATCCCTGGTTCATGGCGGGACACGACAAATATGCATGATGTCAGCAAAGAAACTGCAGGAGTATCTGAAGTTGTATTTCAACTCCACAGCTGGTTCTGTGCCTTGGCAGGATCGTATGATTTGAATTCTACTAAGATATGAATAACATTAGAGAATAGGACAGAAGTTTAATTTTGTATGTGTGTTTATGAATCGATTTACTTAAATATGATTTTTTTATGAATGTTCATCAATTTCATTTTGTTTTATTTGCTTTTTATGAAATTTCGTGTTTACCTACTTTTCATTAGAATAAGTAAAGAGACAAAAACAATGTTGAAATCATTTATTTACCTATAAATGTAGAGAATAAAGTTCACCACTCCCATCTGTATACATGTACATTATAAAACGCTTCAGATAAAAAAAAATCAAACAAACAAAATAAGAAGGACATAGTTCACACTTCCTGTGTTTCTTGAGTAACAGTAAAAGAGAAAATAAAAAGAGTTACAGTTCATATTTTTCTTGTGTATCGAATAACCTTAAATTGTTTACTGTCCTTCCCCATCCCTACACTCATCATATGGTCCAGAAACCAGAGGGGAGTTGCACATTTCCAGACTGCTATTGACCAGGCTAGTTAAGTTTACTGACTGTTCTCCAGATTGAATTTTGGCGCTGGTAGTGGCTATGTTAGATAGCCCTTGGGTCACCACTGTTGTCGGCTGTAGCTCAGTCATCTGTGCCTGAATCCAAACAGGACTCTGCGATCCCCAAACAGAAATGTTCCGTTGGACCGTTGTAGGCCACTGCGGAGGCTGCCAAAGTGCGCTAGTCGATCCAGTACAAGGAAAAGGCCGCGAAAAGGCATGGAACTGCTGCTGTGGTGGTGAATATGGCAGTTGATGAGCAGAATATGGCTGTTGATGAATAAATGGATTGAGAAGCTCTTCACTCTTTTCTTGGTATGAGTACAATAGGTTGGAGCATTCCCTTTGGAACTTAACCACAGTGACGGATGCAGGTTAATCATTACTTCCTTTGTCCAGTCAGCGAATGCCATTCTCTCCGTAGCCTTTGGAGGAACCAGCATCTCCAATACTTTCGTCTGAAAAGCCATGGACTGTTCACCTCTGTTTGCATTATTGCTGAGCAATCGCTCTTCCTCTTGAATGGCTTTATTTTTGGACGATACTGACGATAAAGGCTCCAGCTGCTAATGAGAGATAGTATCAGTTTCTGTTTCTGTTTCAAATTGTTTCTCTAAATTACTATCATCCTCTGTGGATTTAGTGGAAGCTATATTCTCTTTCATCTGTAAAAGCACAAAAAATAAGAAACGTAGATCAAAGTTGGGAACTTTATGAAGCAAAAGAGGTCTACATTAAAATGAAAGGGTTTTTTGTACTTACACTGACTGTAGTTTTCTTCTTGATTTCAAAGATATGAACCTTCAGCCAGGCAAAATTTTGAAGGATATAGCGGTCTCTTTCTGTTAGCTCACTTGCACCATCACCAGATTTTCTATGTAAGAGGCGGGTATACCGGGTACGGATGGACTGGTACCAGGTCTTCAAAGTTTCAACGTCCTTGCCAAGGCTAGCTGCTTTGGATTCCCAAAGAGTGTCTTTCTTTTTGAAATCCTTGTAGGCATTGCTTTTTGTTGTACAAAATTTCGTTTGCCTCAAGAAGCCATTCCATCCTCTTGTTCATCAGTGAGATCAGTCTTAGATCTTTTCTGTGGCTGTATTGGAAGACTGTCTGAGGTTGAAGGGTTTGATGGACTGCTTGCTCGAGAGGACATCGAACAAGGTGATTTTTCGCGCTCTGGATGAGGTTGTGATTCTTGATTCAAATCTGTCGGCATTGGATTTTGCTCTGGTTCTAAATCTGTAGGATCATGCGAGGACCGAGGACTATTTTTTGTCCTTCTCTTAGATTATGTGTTCCTTTTCCTTGTCATGGTGAAAGGCAACTGAATGGCGATGCTTGTATTGCTTCTGTATATATAGCATAGGTGAAGAACGCATTGTGAACGTATTGTGAACGCCATACACGCGCAGTGAGAACATCGTGCACGCAAGGTAACAACGCCGTTGAACGCCGTGAAAACGCCGTGGAAGCGCAACAAATCGCTTAGAGATCTCCGTGGGATCGCAGTAGCTCGCCGCGAGAACGCCGTAGAAATGCGCCAGTCACCGTAAGGACTCCATGACATCTTTACATTCTGAAAATTTGACAGAAAATTGTGCAGTTTCATTGCGATTCCACGGCGATTTTTAAATTTTAACAACGTCGTAACAACTCCGTGGGGACGGCTTGGTGTGACAGGGCCTTTAGAAAACCAACAACTTTGAGAGGATACGTAACTTTTTTATTTTTCTTTTATGTTTTCAATTAGATTCTGTCTGAGATAAGTGGTCTCTTGCACATCAATTAAAAACTCTGTATGTTGCTACATGTAATTGAAGTATGGAATAATTTACCGTGTCTAATAAAATAAATATCCTCGTTTCATCACTCAACATTCCAAAAGTTCTCGCCTGAAATAATGAGAATACCTCTTTTTGCTTAAATTCATTGCTTTATTTTCATGAAATAATAAATGCATATCTTATGTAGTAACACCATGCAGGAAACAAAAAATGCATTAATTTTGTAATATCAGATAACAAAATGTCGAATCGTCGACCTTTAAGCATTGGGATATAGAAAGCAAACCCTGTTTAGGATGATTCCAGTAAGATTGTGTCGGTATTCCCTGGGACTACACACGACGACTGTCTTTATGTTTAACATCTGTGCAGTCCTCAACAGTTCTGATGCTTGGGTTGCCATTTTGTCTTCATTAGATATTTCAAGGGAATAGGAGATTGGGGAAATATTGTTATCCATCATTTGGGCAAGTAAATCATCACATTCTGGAGGAAAAATCAGTTCTCACCATCAGAGCCAAGCCATGAAGGAAAACTTGACTACTTTTGCGTACTGAGTAATTAGTATTCAAATGATAAAAATTAAATGTTAAATGATGAACAAACAGTAAAACAGATGTGTTCTATATCAGCCAGCAGTAGGTCTGATTACTAACAAGAAGTCATTTTGCACAGCAGTTAAATTTCTGGTGACAAAAATGTCTTTTTTTAATTACAACATTTTGTACGTTCTCTAACCTTGGTCAGAAGTTGCGTCGTCTGGTTTAACGACAACTGCTATTTTCAATCCGTAGGCTGTCATCACATCCACAACTGCCATATTTACTTGATTAGCAGGAGGTTTCATTTCCAGTAGCGTTTTCCATGTCACGTTATTTCTCACGCGGTTAACATCTATCCAATCAAATCCTTTGTAATCAGTGACAATATAGGGTACGTCCATTTGCTCGGCTATCATCGCAATATTAACATAAAATGGACCAATAAGGACACTGAGACTCTTTCCTTCATCAGCTTCATTTTCAACAGCTTTAAAAAATAATAATTTAAAAAGTTCATTTTAGTAAAAAGTAGGTTCGATATATCAGGAAATACTACTGAATAACATTTTTTCTCGCTAAGTGATCAGTAGACAAATCGTAAATTTAAAACTAACTTATAATTTGTGATCATGTGGATCTTTTATAGCTTTTATGTATTTTTTCTTTCATTTTCCTTATCAATTAGATTTTTGTGAATACTGATACACTTAGAAATAACATTAGGCGACTCCAAATTGTTTTTCTGTTTTCATTTCCATATTTTCAAAAACATCCACGTTAAAAAATAACAGACTATATGGTCAGAAGAATGATGCCATCCAATGGCATTCTTTCTTTAATCTAATTTCTCATAGAGAGATTTAAAGAGATCTGATGTCTCCATAAAACTGAACAAATTTGATCCTAGTCTCACTTTATGTAAAGGAACATAACATATAATAATGATCAATCAATCTATAAGAAAAAACATGTAAAACAAATTGCAATTTATTAATCATTAAAAGAGGGATCTATTTGTTAGCTAAATCAAAGTAGGTAATGCGTAATATATAAACAAATATACAATGAACTTGACAATCTCAAAAGGTTTCGACCAAAGGGAACAATTTCGGAACTCCTGAATTTTTTTCTTTTTTCTTTCTGGTTTGTCAAGAGCTAAGCTGACGCTTAAGCATATAAAAAAAATTGGAATAGTCTTACTGATACCAGTCTTGATGCCTTCTTGTATATTGGTCCACCCCAGAGTTTGAATCTGAAGGTCGTCCTTCACGTTGATGTCGACATATTTATTAAAAATGCAGTCTTTCACTTCCGATTCTGGGGCCGACATGATCATTTGCGCGACATCCTTGCGCAGTGTATGTGTAAGCCGAGTTTCTGTGTCGCGAAAAAGAATACCTAAAAATTGAAAAAAAAATGATAACGACGAATGAAAATGGCATTAAAAATTAATATTACCAGTTATAAAACAGGGTTTTGAACTCACCAATATAGAAACTTAGTGCTTTCCCATGCGTTGATTGTTGACAAAGTTGATGGGAAACTTGAATTAAACACAACTTGAACAACAAAGAGAGCATTGCTGTATTGGCTCTCATTTTCACAATCTATAAATGTATTCAGTGCAATTATGAGAAATTGAAATGCATCTAAATTTTCAAAAACTCGTATTTCTAAAATAAAATTGAAAATAATTTAAAGCTTCAAAATTTAAGTTCTAAACTCTGTTATACACTTTAACTTCTAGTTCTGGACTAAGGTATAAATGATACACAAGATTAGTCAGAACACAATACATATACATGTATTATCCATCAATGCAAATCAATAATAGTAACTTCACAGTAATTTATGCATTGATAGGAAGTTATGAAATAAAGATCTATGAATATATTGCTATATCCAAGACTTTGATTTCCAAGATTTGGATCCACAAGATGTTTTACAAGCATTTTTAGATTTCTTTTGCGTAACCAATGCTTTAGAAGCAATTCTTCCCTTGACAACAACCACTAGACATTTTCCTCTTCTGTTAACAACCCTTGATCAATGTACTTAATAAATATTTTTCATCTTCAACATATTGCAGCTATCGAATCTCGGTGCAAATCTAGACTCTTCTGTGCAATGCAAGATTTTCTGCAATTACTGTATGTTGATATGGAACCATAAAAAATATGGTGACAGTATGGAGAAAACACATACAGCTTACGATTTGGTCTACAGAATTAAATGAGCATGGGGACTGCACCCGTCTGATTCATTCCTCATAGAGATTCTGATTTCAATGATATGTTCTGAAATTAAGCAAAATTCAATTTGTATTCTATCTGTATAATCCATATTCTATCACACTAGTCAGATTTTAAAAAAAATAAATGACATTATGATAGCTCGTAAATCAAAAGTATACAGCAACTATAACTCAAATTTAAGAAAAAAAATCTTATACCTCGATAAGACAATAATAATGTTGTCATATACAATAAAATCATATATTTTGATTCAGCAATGATTAGAAAATAAGCAGTGCCGATATCTTTATCTTAATAAAATCATACATATTTGTGTTTAGATAAAACAAGTTTCAAAATTTACCTTAAAATGATGAAACTACGACTGAAAACCCTTTTCTGGGTTAGAAATCATATTCGAAAACACTGATTCCGAAAATGTATGCGCCTAATGGTCCATGTTGTCATTTTGATTCCTGGAAAATTTCTATCCGGGTCTCGTCGAACACGGAGTACGTGGAATGTACATCTATAATTGATGGCCCACAAATGTCGAGGGTGAGTGTGGCTTGATTTTCATTTATTAATATCCCTACAGGGAAATGGCGGAGGACAGCCCAAAGCCCTGATATTATCAGATTAGAGTCTGTGAATCGTTCTGTGAATCGACTGTATTTTCTCGATTAAAAAGAGTGCTGCGTTTGGTATGGCCTGATGGGTCGGGTGTGTTACTTCATTCTGCTGACCATTTTATTGGTGGACAACAGTCTGGCCTATAATTATTACCTGACTGCAGGTAGGAATCTCAGACTTTTTAGCATATAATCTGAAATTTACTTATTTTACTTTTGGCATTCAACTCTTAGGATAATTTTTTTAAATTAAAAATTTGACAATTCAACTCTCATAAGTTTCTTTTAATTTAAAAACTTGAAAATTTTTTGTTTAATATTTTTTTTTCAATAATTTATATTTATAGTTTTAAAAAATGTATAAATTTTTTAAAAAACAAGATTTTATATATTAGAGAGAGCAAGAATGTATTAAAGGCCGACTTAGTGCTTTTTCAGCCTAATCATAAGAAGTACCGATTTTTTCTAAATGTATTATTGAATTCCAGAATTGTGTATTGGGGTTATGGATTTATTAATTAAGCGTCATAAGTAAACAGATATTTTTCTCCGGAAAATTGAGTTCTCTCGTTATCAGATCACGTGACCTGGGAATACTCCTGGACGAATCAATGAACAGCATTAACGAGTTCGAATTCTGTTTGACTTCGGTCACTGAATAAACAAGTGAAAGTAAAAACCTGTGTTAAAATTTGGCGAAGGCATCTGTCATTTGTGTTATAAGAGAAGAATATGTTGAAGGAAAATCGCCAAACAGTATAAAAATCGGAATTTCAAACTTTACAAAAAACAGCATGATGATTAAGTACTAATTTTAAAACAAAGCAGGACACAAAGTACAAATGCAGCATTATACTATGATGCAAACGATGATTCAAATAAATGAAAAATAGAATAAAGCTGTGAGTGACATTTTATTATAGTTCATTGAAATGAGAGAATATATACAGGTACCAGCCTACAGCGCCTGATAATAAGAGAATATATATACTAGACAGAATGTCCTGAAATACCCTGATATTATAGTAAATTTTATTGATAATTCAATGGTATATTTCATTCTTCATTGTCATAGTATTTGCTGGTAATAAATTATTCAGTTCTTTCAAATTCGACAGGTTAATGGAGTGTTTGATTGAAATATTGACAGATTATTTCACTATTTTACTTCAGCACAAAAATATATTAACAACGAGATTGTTTAGAAAGTTTTATAGGAAACAAATTGATCCATTTTTTCTCCTAGCGGTTGTCGGTGATAAAGGTTCCAATCGGATAGCCAAATTCCGCCAAACTCTACAGAGGCAGAACAATGACAGCGGTTATTGTAAGATAGAGTTTATACAGCTAGATTACGACCAGACAGATGGAGATGCGGTGTACCAATCTCTCAATACAGGTAAATTATAAAACACAGCAGCTCACAGACAAATAGTATTTTATGATTTAGAATGAATTTTTAAAATAATGTATTTTGGGCCGTATTTTGCTTGTATATTTTTGTTAAAAATCCCTGACGTTGACAGGACTATACCTACAAACTACATGAAAAAAAACCTTGCTTGTTCACTGGAAGCTGGTACCAAATCCGGTTTCTACATCAATACTGGAAAAGTCGAGAAAATGTTAAGAGAAAAATAAAGATACCATTTGTGCAAAGAACTGTTCCATAGCCTGGTTCCGTTTTAATTGTTGGAAAAAACCATCAATTTGATTAAAGGCCGAGCTCAAAAGGTCAAAAATCTTGGTACCCAAAGAAAAGTCTTGTAATAAGAAATACACAGGAGAGCCCATGCAGTTACCAAACGTACAACAGTTAACGACCACGATTAAAGTTTTCCAACAATAAGTCAAACTCCAAGGTAAAACATATATTGGTATCGAAAGAAAGGTCGTGTTACAAGAAATACGCATGAATTATAGGAACCCTGGCTCTAAACATTTTAAAATTATGGGTGAGGATAAGGTTTTTCGGACAAACAGATTTAAAGACGTATTCGAACATGTAGAATTGAAATATTTTCCTCATGATCAGAGCCCTTTACAATATTCATAGTTCTCTTTCTCGTGTTACAAGAAATACGCATATGAATTATAGGAACCCTGGCTCTAAACATTTTAAAATTATGGCTGAGGATAAGGTTTTTCGGACAAACAGATTTAAAGACGTATTCGAACATGTAGAATTGAAATATTTTCCTCATGATCAGAGCCCTTTACAATGTTCATAGTTCTCTTTCTAGGTGAACATATTCTTCAAAATCATATGTCAGTTCTGAATATTTTTTTAAGATCAGAAAGAACCAAATGAATTTGAACTACCACATCTATACTGTATCCCGAAACTTCATAAAAATCCTTCCGAAGATACATAGCGGGTTCCAGAAAATGCAAAGCCCCTTTCTTTACTCCTCACTAAGATATTAACAATAGTGAAGGAAACCTTCAAGAGCACTGTGCAGCAGTATATTCAAGAAGTGGTGTAAATCAGATGAGGATACTTAAAAATTCCAAGGAACTTTTGGACAATTTGAAATCATAGGATTTTCCCAAAATCAACAGCTGAAAAACTTAGGACTTTTCAACTTTATACACAACCATTCCACATAATAAATTTAAGTCCAGGCTTTTTGATATCATTGACAGCTGCTTTTTCAATAAATATGGAACTCGTAAATTTACTTAACTTGCCATTGTTCATTTGCAAAAATAAAAAAAAACATTCTGATTGTACTCACAAGTACTTTGAAGTTGAAATCAAAAAGATGCTTGAGTTTTTGATTAATAATATCTATGTTGTTTTTGGAGACTAGGTCTTCCAACAATCTATTGAAATTCCTATGGGTACCAATTGCGCCCCTTTATTAGCAGACTTATTTTTTGCAGTCATATTAAGCAGAATTTGTCCAGAATCCTATATATGAAAAGAAGAAATCACTTGCTTTGGCCTTCAACTCGACATTAAGATATATCGATGACTTATTGTCAATTAAAGTGGTAACTTCCATTCTTATTTCGATGCGATACATCCTGGTGAGCTTATGATAAAAGATATCACAGAGTCTGACACATCTGTTTCTTTTGTGTATATTTTACTTGAAAAAGACGTTAATGGTAATCTAACAACCAAGCTCTATGATAAACGTAATGACTTTAACTTTACAATCGTCAACTTCCCTTAATTATGCAGCAATATACCTTCATCACCTGCATACGGAGTTTATATATCTCAGTAGATTCGATACGCAAGATCATGCTATATGTATGAACAATTTCTAAAACGTGGTATATTATTGACAAACAAGTTGATGAAACAAGAATATAAACAGTCTCGTTTAAGACCATCATTTCGTAAGTTCTATGATCGATACATTGACCTTGTCAGCAAATACAATTTATCATTGAGTCAAATGCTGGCTGACGTTTTTCATACTAATTAATTGTTAGTCCATCATTTATACATTGAACTGACGACGGATTTTCCGTTATTTCCTGATCATGACAAGGAGCACAAGGTGGGTGTGACCGGTCGGCAGGGGATTCTCACTCCTCCATGGCACCTGATCCCACCTCTGATGTTTTGGTCTTGCGTGTTTGCTCTGCTCCTATTTTGTATTATTTTTAATTATGGAATTTTGATCTTGAATACTGTTCGTTATCTCCATATGTTTCATTCAACATTATCAGAGATCTAACAATTTAATTTCTGTTTAGCCCGTCAAACGCTGAACAATGAATCGGTCGTCGCTGTACTTGGGCCATACATCGATGTCTTCACGTCCATGGCTTACGTCATCACCAAGCAAGCACATCTCATCACGGAGAGATCTGAGAGTTCCGAAGCTTCTTCGAGATCCCTTCCGATTCTGCCAGACTCAAGATCATTGGCTTATGCTGTTTCAAAGATTATTGCTAATGCTATGCAATGGAAAAATAAGAATATAGCTTTCTTATCTCAAAGTACGTGGTGATATAAATGATAACAATGGCAATGATTTGTCTTTTGAATTCGGGATTCAAACTTTCATATTCTTTTTTTTACAGATGACTTCTCTATGGTACCAGAACTTAGTCGGAGAGACGTTAAGGTTTGGCCGATCCGTTTACCTCCCCACATTAAGTCGGAGGGGGATAAGGAGTTAATGTTGACTCTCACCAGTCTACGTAGTGCTCAGAGAACGCGACTAGTCCTCCATTCCATGGACAGCTCTGTCGTCAAATACGTCATCAAAGCAGTACGTCATAAGTATAAAATGATGTCTTACCTTTATTTTTGGAAATATTGACAGTTTTATGCCCTTATCGACCTTTTGATTTTTGTAGGCAGAAAAATTACTCTTGTTTCACAGTTCTTTGAGCTGGTTTATAACGTATTTGGTGAGTATATTTTTGTTGGGAGGTTTCGTGATCAATATCCGAAATTCTATCTTAGTATTCCATAGCCATGAATTCACTTTGCTTGTTTTCTTGATTTTATTAGTCTCCAAAGAGAATTTTATTACCATTTTTATTGGGGAGAAAACATAATATTCATTTAGTTATCATATCCATTTACAATTTAACGATAAAATTTCTGTACAATGTGCACACAGAACGAACTTTACTGCTACCATAAAATTTTTAAATAATGCAATTTCTACAAGTTTACATTTAATTTGAGTCTTCTTTTAAAGGATTTTGAGGATATTACCTCCATCATGAATAAGACGGCTGATATCTACGGTCTACAACTATTAGACAGAAACTCTTTATCAACCACCGACACTCACGGTAAATACCAAGACGCTCAAAAGCGGTCGTTGCATTATAGAAATTACCTTTCGCAGTCTGACTAAAGCCAAGCGAAGTGAAATAGTAGGGACTGGCTTTAGTCAGACTGTTGCCTTTCGTAAATGAACAAAAAGACAAAATGAACATATTCAAAATACAGTAAAACCTTATTTGCTTTCTAAACATGCGTAAAGGTTGACAAATTTTACAGAAACATACTGCATTTAAATGCTTATAAAACTATTTTCATGCTTGCCCATGATCCTGAAGTCTTGATATGCTTAAGGGTAAAACGAACTGAAGTCGAAAAGTTGTTAAATTTAGATGAAGAAAAAATCTCTAAATACTTTATCGGGCAGAAGAGACGCCACAGAACCATTTTCCACAAGTGACGTAATTTTCAGAAACGTAACTTTCTCTAACAAATCATACATCACATGCGTCGTACATTGCCATTCGTATAGGTATTGACCAAGGTCTAAACTATTGCAATTCAAAGGAAGTTCTTCACACAAGGAATACATATGTATAAAGTGAAAACCTTAGTTTTGACCTTTTAAACTTTATACATGCATTATCATACATGTATACTCTGAGGTCAAATAAGTTTGCACTAAAAATTAAAGGTGTTACAAAATGTATACACACATGAAATATGGAATCCAAAGCGAAAAAATCAAAAGTAATGGGCGAGGTAAAAGTTTTTGCGAAGAGACTAACAGCTGCTTTTTTCAATAAAATTGGAATCGTAAATTCACTTACCTTGTCATTGGTCATTTACAAAATTATTCTATTAAAAATATTCTGATTGAACAAACAAGTGCTCTGATTTTGACATCAAAAAGATGCTTGAGTTTCTGATTGACAATATCAATGTGGTTTTTGGAAACCAGGTCTTCCAACAATCTAGTGGATTTCCCATGGGTACAAAAAGTGCTCCGTTTTAAGCAGACCTATTTTTGTATTTATATGAGGCAGACTTTGTGCAAAACCTTATGCGTGTAAAGCAGGAAACATTTGCTGTTGCCTTCAACTCGACATTTAAATATATCCACGACGTGTTGTCAATTAACAATGGTAATTTCCATTTTTATGTCGATGCGATATAGCCTGGTGAGTTTGAGATAAAAGATATCACAGAGTCTGACACATCTGTTTCATATTTGGATATTTTACTTGAAAAAAAGACGTAAATGGTAATCTACCAATCAAGCTCTATGTGATAAACTTGATGACTTGAACTTTACAATCGTCAGCTTCCCTTACTTAGGCAGCAATATACTTTCATCACCTGAGTTTGTATATTTCAGTTGATTCAATATTCAAGATATACGTATGAACAATTTCTAAAACGAGGTAAATTTTTGACAAAAAGAGTACAAAAGAAGATTGGCGTACTCGGCGTGTGATCTGCAGGAATCATTTGTACGAAACGTTTATGGTTTAAATGTCCATGATTTTGTTGGCTGACCATAGCTGGTCAGACTTTACAAACACAACCATAGGATTTCTTTTCATTTTAATTAGTTTGAAATGCCTTGTCAGATTATAACATTTATCTTGTTTTATGGACTTTTGGTCTTGAATAGTGTTCGTTATTTCCATATGTTTCAATGAGCTTTTATCACAAAGGCATACGAGGTCGGATAGAGTAGACTGTCTTTTATATTTTGGAATACTTAGGAAGTGTTCATACTACAGTATGGTTCTTTTTCTCTGTCATAAAATTCAGATCTTATTATCATTTGATAAATCCACCAGGAGCGATTGACCAGAAGGATAATACGGTTACTAATTAATATAATTGCATTACATGGAGTATGTATATGAAATATTAATGACAGTTGGCGGTTTTGTAGTTTTCCCACAGGTACGGATCACTTTGTACATATCAAAACATTGTCACTGTGCATCATATTGTTATTTCCAAATAAAAAGTGACGTGCCTATTAACTTTTGTAGAACATTCTATGATTTTTGTTTCAGGGCATGTAACTTATTTTTCATTAATTTCATTACTATTCCTATATTCAAAAAATATTATGAAAAGAACTATGAATGTAATTGGAATGCTCAGTATTTCATTTCGATCTCTTTTCTTTTTACTCTTTTTTTTCGATATGGGCTTTGCAAAGTGTAGTTATATGAATAATGGTCCAGAAAACCTATTTAAGTTTCCCTTTGAATATTAAGATAAAAATTGAGAGACTGTTCTCACCTGTAGGCCTATGTTGTTTACTTTTTGTTTATTATTTATCATGTTATGATACCATAAGAACTCTGTCTTCATTCAGATGTTCTTTTTATCATGCTTTACATTGAAGAAAGTAAATTTCTATATAAGCAATGTTGTGAAACCATATAATTGTAAATTCCTTGAATGACATTTTCTCCTGGCCATGGGGTATATGATTCGAAGAAATATTTTTACTAGAGCCAATCAATCTAAACTTAGGGTAAGGTTAGAGTTTTTGCAGACTAGCTGCGATGGCCATACAAATGAAAAGACAGACCGGCTTAGCAAAAACTACAATATATGCCCTCCAATCATCAATTCTGAGGACGTAAAAATGCTGTTAAAGAATTGAAATACAAGAACATTCAATGTTATTTTCAAGACCCCGAACATTCAACGTTTATTTCAGGTCCCAGCTCACTGACGCAGAATACAAGATAAAAGCCTGAAAAAATATGCACTTAACCTTTTACTTGGCAAATTCACATTCATTTGAAAGTGTCGATTAACACACTTACATGTAATTTTGAAAAAAAAATTATTTAAAAAAAATAGTCGGAGCTTGAATACTTACAGACTGACTATTATGTCCATATTTCCTGTAAATATTATACATTAATATTTATATTTACATTTCTACTTGTTTTTTTCTGTGATAACTCTTTGAAAATTACATGAGTGTTTTGATTTCTTGATGATTCAACTTGAATGTAAATTTTGCCAAGTGAAAGGTCAGTAGGTAATGGAAACTTTGTGTCTTTGTGTCTGACGTCAGAGGGTGGGGACTTAATTGAAATTGACATGGGAGGACTTGTGTAATGCAAGTCTATTGTCTATCTATTTTCTTAACAGAAATAGAAGTATGGGTTTCAGTGTGTTTTTATACATAATAAATGAAGTGAATGTTACCTTTGTGAATTTTACCTGACTTTTCCAATACAAACATTTGTTCTGACACAAAAGATTTTGACTACACATCATAGAGCATTTGTCTTTATTTCATAGTCGTTGTGTCGCGAAAATATCTATATTTTCGAACATTTGAAAGTCTAAACAATCGAATAAACTGTACTAATCGTATCTGGAGAGATATACGCAGTAAGATTTCTAATTTTCAGACGCCTTGGAAGAAGCTGTGCTGAGTGATTCTGTGGCTCTGTTACGTCACTTTCTCCAGAAGAAATATGAATGTTCTGAAGAACCTCAACAAGACGTCAACATGAAGGCGGGAGACGTGTTAGAGTTTGTACACGATCTGTCAAGTGGCAGGGTGAGGCTAGGAAGTATTTAGTAAAAAAAATTGAAAAAAGGTTTTTCAAGGGTCAATATTTGCATTCATGGTGGCTGCTAATTTTACTGTCACTTGGTATGTTCGAGATAATTTGATAGTTATGGTCTTGTAAAGGTATTAAGCATTTTTTCTTTACTTTTAAAATACCGGTAGTTTTTAATGTAGATTCGAATATAAAACTAAGGTTCATTTACTCTGTCTCTGTAGATCGAGGTATATAAAACCAAAAAAAGTATTATTGAAGTTTAAAAACTTAAGTCCCCTGTAGGGTTTATGTGCATGTTTTGTTGAATACCTCACTTTTTAGAGCACGCCTTACATCGGGGCCCTGGGTCAGTACGTATGGACCAATACTAGCGACAACACAGGCAAAATGAGGACACAGTATTCGTTTGGAATTATGGGATATAATGGAACAACAACAAAGGTTTATCAAAATAGCTTAAATTTTTCTCTTACAATTTAAAAGATTAATGTTTTTTTTTTTATCAAGTAAGTGCATTATAGTACTTGAATTAAATTTTAATATCGGATGTCAATAGTTGTATATTGAGTGTTTGAAATATATTAATCTATTTATAGATAGGTAACTGTTCCTTTGTGGGGAGGAACGTGACGATTTTGGACACTAAGTTGATGCCTGCCCCTGACAAAAGTTTGGATAAAGTGCTGGCAGGCCAAATGTTTACGGTCATCACGCGTGTGGTAGGTGGATACGTCAATCTGATATATTGTTCATTAGTACCTTTGGAAGCATTTTACGTCACAGAATCTTTGGTGGCTCCTGTAGGAATACTATAGTATAGTATCTCGAACCATTCACTTTTTGTCGTACATAGGATTAATTATACATGTACGAGGGGTGATCAAAAAGTTCGCAAACTAATTGAATAACTTCCATACAAGAAACAATATTTGGTTTATATTTTAAATTAATCCTCCCCGATTTTAATGCACATCAACCACCGTTCTGCGCATGCGCGAATCACGTGATATTGGCGGTTTTATATTTCTTTCCATGTGAGTTAATTTTTATGACAAGAACAGTTAATTTGTCAGAAATGGTCATATCTCAGCAACAGAATGGGTGGATAATAGCATCCTTTCCAAAAATAAGCATGGCGACCATTAAAACACAAATCTTCTGTCTCAGTAGAGACCTTTATTCAAGGTGGATAGAGAATGGGTGCATCCTTTTTATCATATCTAATATGTTTAAAATCTAAAGTAAACGATATCTTAGGTATTTAATACTTATATCATTGTTCAAATATTCAACTATTTTTCAAAGTGCTAATTGGAGGTCTTTGATAGCAAATTGCTTAATTAAAAATACATATCTTTTCAAACTTGCTTTCACTGGGCAAGATGACAAGTATCATTTTTAACCATCAGCCTTCCTTCACTAAAATGATTAATCCAATCATTAATTGAATTTATAGGAACTCATTTATCTCAATAAACTGTGTACAAATTATTATATGATACTGTAGAGGGATTTCTAAGATATTACAATAAATTGTACAGTCGTTTGTTGAACAAGTTCGACTGAGACAACCATTTTTCGTCACAAGTGACCTAAATAGTGACGTCAAATTTATTATTGTGACGTCACAAACAAGGAGAGAAACTTTATTCAGCATATGCTATTTATAGACCTTGTGTATGGCTATGTGTGTACCGAATTTCATTCTGATCTGAATTGTGGTTTTGTAGATATAGAGATAGTTTGCGAACTTTTTGATCACCCCTCGTATCATGTTAATTTTGAGTTTACTTACCTGGAAGTAAATGCAAAGTTTACAACAAAATAATTCATGATTCTCTTCATTTAGCAATTGTTTGGGTTTATATTCATTAATAATCTTCATTTCATGATGTTTGGAAGGAACCCCCATTTGTGCTGAAAACAGGGGTTGGTAAATACGAAGGGTTTTCCGTTGATGTCTTAGAAGAGATTGCGTCTATGATGAACTTCAACTTCGAAATAAAGGAACTGGACAGCTTTACAAACAACAAGAGCGATGTTACAGCCGACTGGGACACCATTATAAAACAACTGATTGTAGGGGTAACGAGACTCTTTATTTTGGGATAACTGTATCTTGTAAAAGTTTAATTTATATACTAGTGAAAATAGTTAACTATTTTCCACCTTTCTTCTGAACAAAAGTCTTTTGTAAGTTAAGGTACACGTCCAACACAACACTTTGCTTTGTTTCAGTTTAGTTTCTTTAATCAAAATTAACCCTCTATTTTCATCAGTCCTAGAGGAATAATAATTGTGATTTTCAACAATTGATGAGGATTCTTTAATATTTTTTCTTCACAGAATGCGTCTATGGCGATTGGTTCCTTGGCGGTTAAGTCAAGCAGAGAGGAACAAATTTCTTTCTCCTATACAGTTATTTCTTCTACCATCAGCATGCTCTCAAAACGACCAGTCAACTCGCCTGTCCTCTTTCAATTTCTGTGGCCATTTAGTTGGCAGCTCTGGGTAGTCATTATTGCCTTCTACGTCGTCGCAGGTGGGGCACTATGGGCCATGAGTAAATATGACGTCACTCAAAATGGTTCAGAGCAACAGTTCAATTTGAAAGAAAGTATTTGGTACTCCGTTAATCTTTTCCTTGGAGGTAATTCCTAAGTTAGGTATCAGTTGTTACATGCATATCACATGTATCAGTAATTTGTTGAAAAAGTAGTACAAATTAATTTTTTTTTTTAATGTTTGTTATGAATTAGGGGGCACCGAGTATTCTCCGCAGACGACATCGATGAGGACGATGGTGGCCTTTTTCTGGTTCTGTACGCTTGTGATCACTGCTGCCTACACCGCTAACCTGGCGGCGTACCTGACTCTACAACAACAAGACACACGCATCAAGACCGTGGATAAACTCTCTAAACAGATGACCGTGAAGTACGGGCTGCAGAAAAACAGCGACCTGATGCATTTCTTCAAAGATTCCTCGATGGATCCGTACGAACGAATGTGGGCCACCATCAAACTGGAGGAGGAGACCCGACTAGTTCCGGATAGAGAGACTGGTGTTAGGATGGTCAAAAATGGCGTGAACGGAAGTGACTTCATATTCCTTGATTTGGCCAAAATAAACGAATACACGGCTTTACAAAGATGTGACATGGAATCGTACGATCAGAAT